CTGGTTTTAGCACATTAATGTGTCCACTAACATTGGACCTGATATGAGCTCAAAGATCAATATTTTTTTACCACAGAAACTATAACGCAATTTGTAAAATTTGGACAATTATTGACTCAGGAAATTTATGTCCACCTCAGTAATAATTTTGCCTAGGAGCTGCCACTGCATTGTGAAAAAATAATTACACTGATGTTGCAATTTTGAGGTCATCTAGCATATTTGGGGCCTCACCCAGCTGACTGGCACAATCTCTTAGCCGACTAGCATAAACTGAGTCCAGACTGGGTAGCTCTGATCCTATAATGCTCTCAGCAGTCCTGAAAATGCGTGCCAAGTCTTTTCTGTTTATTGCAGTGCAACTGAAGAACCACAAGTTGCTGCAGTGGCACAAAATCCTCTTTATAGTAGTTCTGTAAAAGTTCACTAGCTGAACCTGCCGTTCCATCTCCTCAGAAAAGTTTTTGCTGCTTCTTTTTCACCAGGCGGAAGGTGTCAATGGTCCATGTGAGATCACTTGTAATGTGGACATCCAGGAACTTGATGTCATGAACAATCTCTACCTCTGCTTCAATTATGTGTTGAGGTGCGAGGATAATTTGTTTTTGCTGTCTTAAATTTTGCAAAGACCTTAGTCTTTGTGGTGTTCAGCACCAGGTCACCAAGCACCAGCTAACTGTTGAACCTCCTTCCTGTAGTGGATCTGGTTTAGTTAGTCCTACTACAGGGGTGTCATCAGTAAACTTCACAATTGCATTGATGGGATGGATAGTGGTGCAGTCATGTATAAAGAGAGCAAAAAGGGCAGGACTGGGGACAATCATGTGGTGCACCACGTGTGATGTCCATGATGTCCTCATGTACCACATGTAATGGGAATGACAATAAAGAACCTTGAATCCTTGAATTTGTGTGTTGCCACAGTGTTTTTAGTGGCTGAAAAGTCCAATCCTGGAGTGGCAATCACAGCTGCATATGTACACAGCACTTGTACACAGACTCAGCTCTGGCAGAATTCCTGTGCGCGCACTTTGCTTCACCCATGTTGCGGAGGCTGTCCTTTGCAAGTCTGGTATGCTGGTGAATGGCAGTTCTCCAGTTTGAATGAACTGCTGCAAGGTCTTCCTAGGTGACAGTGTCAGTACCTCCCGCTTTCATGTCATGTGTCATGCTTGCAGAGGTCTTTGTAGTGTAGGACTGGATGGGCTTTGGCTAGTTGTCAGCTAGTACACAATGTATTTTGGTGCACACCCATCATCCATATGGTGTACATGACCCAATCTGCATAGGAGACACTGTCTGAGGATTGTGTACATGTCGGGAAGACCAGCCCAAGACAGCCTCAGTGTTGGGCACTTTGTCTTGCTAGGAGATGTGCAGGATGTGTTGGAGGCAGCACAGGTGAAAGGTGTTGAGCATATTTTCCTTCCGGATATATCTAGTCCAGCTTTCACTGCCACACAACAGTGTACTGAGGACACAGGTATTGTAGACTGTCATCTTCATCTTCAAGGATAGCTCTCCCAGAGGCATGCAGTGAGGGAAGTGTTCTAGCAGCTATCTCTATCTCTTTGTTGATTTCTGCATCTTGAAAGATTGTAATTGTGGAGCACAGGTAAAGTATGTGCACAGGTGAACAACCTCCAGTTGTCCTCCTTTCTGGATGGAGTTTGCATGTTCTTTCCATGCATGCATGGGTTTTCTCGGGGTACTCCGGTTTCCTCCCACATGTCGTAGTTTACGGTTAGCAGCGAACCCAGAGTGCAGAACAGGGACTCAACTCGGCAGATATACAAAAAATAGATTTTAATGGTAAATAAAAGTACAAAATAAACAAGCTGACGGGGCAGCAAAACTTACATGAATAGGCACGGGGAACTCAGGCGACAAGAGAGACACGGGGAACCAGGAAGACTCAGGGAAAGACTTAGGACAGACTCAGGACAAAACTCAGGACAAGACTCAGGAGACCCAAGGGAGAGTACCAACGAAGACGACCCGACAAAGGACAAGACAGAATAGGGCAGCTTAAATACTGGGAGAAGACGAGACGTGATGACAAACAGCTGGGACGAGACACAGGTGGCAACAATGGAAACTAACGAGGAAGCACGAGGGAAACAGACACAAACCGGGCCACAGAAAAGTACCATCCTTACACCACAGACCAAATACATGCATGTTAGACTGATTGGTAACTCTAAATTGTCCCTAGGTGTGAGTGAGAGAGTGAATGGTTGTTTGTCTTGTTTGTCTCTGTGTCCCTGTGATGGACTTGCAACCTGTCCAGGGTGTACTCCGCCCCTTGCACAATGATTGCTGGACATGGGCACCGGTGGCCCCTGTGACCCAAAACGGAAGAAGCGGGTAAAAGACAATGGATGGATGGAAATCACACTGAGCCTCGAAGACTCATTTACAAGTGAGATCTGTTTATGTCCTGTGGTGTGGTGCCTTTCTGCCAGCACTGGCACAGCAGCTCATGCAGAGGCTGTAGGAGTGTTGTTTTGCATTGCTTAAGAGGTTGGGTATTATGACATCACTGCCTGGGACCTTCCCTGAGGCCAGGCTGTCAATGGCTTTGTTTAGTTCTTGGATGCTGGGTTCCTCATCCAGCATGTGCATAGTAAAGAGATTCAATTTCATCAAGGGCTGTGGCAGAGACCGGGTTGTTGTTGAATTTAGAGTGTCTTGTGCATTGCCGTCAGCTACCACCACACCAAATTTCAGCTCAATATAGTTTAAAATAGTTGAGTTATCATATTTTTCCCTTTTAGCAAAGGTGACCATCTTGGATATTTGATTTGCATCAAGAATGTGTAACAACTCACTCTCAGATACAGCCATAACACATTTCAGCTCAATATATCAAATAATGTCTGAATAATGAGTTATAGTCAAAATATGTATTCTGAGGTAGCTGTGGCTGCCATCTTGACTCAAAATGGCTCCAAACATTAAGCAGTTCTAGAGATACATCTGATAATTGACTTTGTTAGTAAAAAAAAATCCAACAAGCTGTTCATGAGATATGTTGCTAACACAATCTAAGTTTACATGGTAGTGTAGTCCCTCGATACTTTGTGGTTCGACTTTAGTGCACTCACTGTTTCGCAGATTATCATCATAAGATTATACATGGCACATGATTGGCTGATTGATGGAAAGCGACCAACCAGAGCATTGTGCTCTGTATCCCGGGCGCTGACTGGCTCAGTAACTGTCGCATCAGTCTGTCTGCTCTCTTTCACTGTGCTCTTTTAGAGCATTTAGAGAGTTTAGAACATTGCAAGAGTGTGGGAATAGCTTATAAAGCTTTAAAATATATAGAAATACTAAAACAAATGTAAAGTCACTACTTCACAGATTTTCACCTATTGCGGGGGTGTCTGGAACGTAACCCCCGTGATAAGTGAGGGATTACTGTATTTCTAAATATGATGTTTTTGGAATCAGATCAGAGGTGCGTGCGTGTTCCCGTGCATGCGTGTGTGCAGGAAGGGCACAGTGACAAATTCCTGAAGAATGTAGGAGAATCTTGGTTCTAACAGCTTCTGTGTAAAAACTATAAGGTCTTTTGAAGAAATTCTTGAAGCATGAGTGAGACAAAAGATTGATTCACACTCATGTGGATTTCTCATTTTTACCTCACTATGTATCAGAGATATGATGAGTTAAAAACACTCCTCACAATCCGATCTGAACAAAAACTTTACAAAATTAACATGGGGAAACCTGAAATGTTCATTCTCTGCCTTCTGAAGTACCTCTCATAACTCTCCTACAGCCAAACCAGAAATACTGGTAGAAAGATGACAAAAATGCTGTTTTGATATATAAGTGTCTCTTAAAAGATGAGGTGGTAGGAAGAGTTTGGTCAATGACTTTCTGAGTTTTTTCATGGAGCTCTCCACACTAGGTCATGTGACCTCAGAGCTGCAGTTAGAAGGTGGCAAGCATTCCGTCAGGTGTTTTGAATGGGAAAAATGGGTGTCCCTGCTTGCAAATTACATCGTCATGGTAACTCAAAATGCCAATAAAGTAAGCGCATACATCACGGTGCCGAGCCGGTCGTTTTGATATAGCATTTGTTATATAAACACAAATTGCAGTTCAGGCCGCATTAAAGTTGACTAATGAGTAAGATATAAAGTTAAGAAACCCTTGTCAGGTGGATAATAATGTGGCTGCTTTAATGAGCAGTCCCCGAGCACAACAAAAAAACAGACTCAACGAATCAAATACATTTTATTTAACTATACAGTTAATGTTTATGAGGCCCTTAATGTTTGGGCTCTACAACAATTAAGAACTCTTCTATCAAAAATTTTATTTTTTCTCCTTTCTCCAAAAAATTGTTTATGTTGTTCGTAAAAAAAAAAAAAAAAAAAAAAAAAAAAAAAACATAATATGTACACTTTATTATCTTAAATTCAAATTTTTGTGGTCCATGAGTCCTTTCATCTCAACAGTTTTGGCCCACAAAAAACGTTTGGACCCCCCTGGACTAAAGGCTCTGTGTAAAGAAACTGTCGGTTGTCTGTTATGTTTCAACACTACTGATATTATTATATTTCTGTGTTGATTAGATGCAAAAAAAAAAACCAAAACCTTTATGACCATTTTTTACAGTTTTCATCAATGGATGAATTTTGATAATGAATTTAAAATCAACACTGAATGTCAAAAGCTGGAGGACAGAAGATGGGTTTAATGTTTTGGTGCACATTTCTGCTAAAAATGTGATGGAGTCATTTTAACTTAAGGAAAATGAAGCTGATATTTTAAATCAGTGTTTATGCTGTTGGTTTACCTGATCAACAAATGTGATCAACAGTTCCTGTTTCTACATAGAAGAACAAACTAAACACAGCAAAGCAGCAAAGCCTGGAGACGTTCTGGAGGTTTGGCACTTTCAAGCTGTGGAGCTACACTGCATCAGGTTTCTATGAGGTTCTTTATGAGTGACTGAGTTAAGGCTGCTGCTGGGGGGCGAGGCGTCAGAAGCGGCTGGAGATGTTCTTGCAGTGCTGGCGCGCCTGCTTGTGAAGCTGCGACACTCGCTGTGTCAGCTGAGCCAGGGACGGGGGCACGGTTGGTGAGGACAGCACGGGAGGTGTGAGGTCCAGCTCGTGCACCAGTTTCTTGCAGCTCTCCAGACAATCGGCAGCAAGCGGGAATCGAAGCAGCAAGCTCTTTATTGGAGCACAAATGATGAGAACTAGACAGAAACATCAGTGACAGCATGAGGACATCACAGCAGGGACTGATTTTAACGTCACTTTCAGAGTTTTGACTTTTAAGATTAAACCTTAAAGTTCACAACTCAATTCTGTAAAATACCAACACAGAATGCACAAGAACACAGGACTACAACTAATTATTGCTTTGTTCTTTTCAGCTCTCACCTCCAGATCCAGAATCTTCAGCTGCTGCTGCAGTCCCAGGCTGAGAAAACAAAATCACACTAGTTTTAAAGAAAAACAAGACAATGTTACTAACAGTTCACCTGCTGTCCAACAAAGACCAAAGTCAGAAACTTATTTAGGTTCACTATGCTCATCAAGACAAAAGCCCCAGCCAGTCAGAATACAGGATAAACACACAGCCAGTTAGAGAACAGGACAGCAGTGGGCAACCCACAAGGACTTCAATGCCTTCAGAGAAGGCCCAAGAATTCAGCACATATGAAACGTTACACTACTACAACATACTACCATACTACTACTACATCATAGTAGTACATTTAAAGCTTTAGTCAAATATTATAAATTTATAACTAATATAATTTAATACATAATATATTTTTAAGGCAGCACGGTGGCATAGTTGGTGGAGCTGCTGTCTTTCAGCGTGCAGTTTACCCTGGATCCTGGTCCAGAGGCCTTTCTGGGTGGAGTTTGCATGTTCGCTCTGTGCATGCGTGGGTTTTATCCAGGCACTCCAGTTTTCTCTTACAGACCAAAAACATGCATGTTAGGCTGATTGGTAACTCTAAATTGTCTCTAGGTGTGAGTGAGAGAGTGAATGGTTGTTTGTCTCTATGTGTTCCTGTGATGGACTGGAAACCTGTCCAGGGTGTCCCCCGCCTCTCTCACAGTGACTGGTGGATATGGACACCAGTGACCCCCGCCACCCAAAAAGGAAGAAGCGAGTAAAAGATAATGGATGGATGGATATATTTTTAATGCACATTTTTCTCCTCTACTTTTGGTAAACTAATTTGCAGTTGAGCAATAGTTGTTTTTTTTTAAAGTCATGAAAACAGAATTGTTCAATCCGATTCTTTTAAATTTTGGGTTCCAGACAGAAGCAGAAGGAGCTCTCATTTGTTAGGACCTCATTGTCAGGAGAGAAGACTGAACTCAAAGTCTCTGCAGGATTAGGTCTGTCACGATAACAAATTTTGTTGGGTGATTAATTGTTTCAGAAATCATTGCAATAAACGATAATGTTTAAAATTTGACAATTAGTAATTATTGTCAAAATTAAGAAGAAATGTTTGTTAATTTGTTTTGTGTGTTATCCTAACCTTTTTTTGACCACCAGATGGCAGTATAAGACTGTTTGAACTGAAGGATGGCTGGTGAGGGAGAGAGCAGCGTGACTCTTTAAGAAAAATGGGAGGGAGGCCCCCTGATGTGACATGGGCTGTCTCTCTTCATTTCTTAAAATGGCAGATGCTCGGTGTGGATTGAGCTCTTTAGCATAACATTTTTCACACAAAGCTTTTAATAAAAAACCATTAAACATGTTCACAGCTTCTTTTAACTTTTTACACAAAGGCATGGGTTTCAACCGTGAATTTTGACAAGACAGTTTTTTTCCCCTGAGGTCGGCCTGTTAGCTTAGCTTCTCAGCTTAGCTGCTTTTAATGATCCAAAAATGTGATTTTCGACGGTTAAAATAGATTTTAAATAGAAAAGAGAAAGGGAGGGGTCAGTGAAAAGCACCGGATTTGAGCCTTTTATCATCCAGTGTCTTCAGTAGAAAGAGAAAGACACAAAGAAACGATAAAGCTGATAAATGAAAATGAGGTCGATAATTTTCATTTATCATGGGATTAATTGATTTATTATTTATTGTGACAGACCTATGCAGGATGTTTGTTTAATAACTGACAGGAGAATTAACAAATCACAGAGTTGATGTGGAGTGGGTGGGACAAAAAACAAAATCTTAAAATGTTTTACGTTTGTGTCCACATGAAAATTTGTGACACATTCAATAGCAAATTGCAGTTGCTCTAAAACTGGTTAAGTTCTAGAATTGCGCCGCTCAAGGTGGCTGCATGTTGGAGCAGCTCTGTTACTTTCATTCTGAGATTTTGCTTTTGGAAACTTTAATTCCTGTTTTTCTGGATGTAAATCACATTTTTTGGATGATTGTTTCCTCTGGTATCAGATGCTGTGCAGCAGGAAGGATTTTTACTGAAACTTTTTTGGTTTTGGACATTTGTTATGATATGTAACCATGGCAACAAGGCAGTTTTCTACAACAACAGCTGAATAACATTTCAAAAGCTCAAATAATATCTCAACTATGGCCCCACAACTCTCAAATGAGTTGAAAAGGATGTTCTGTGGACGCATTCTCATCTACCTGCCAGCTGTGCTCAATTGCCTGATCTCTGAGATCCTGGAACTAGCAAGAAACACGGCTCACGACAGCGGATAGACAGGATCGTCCCTCAGCACCTACAGTTGACTGTCCACAGCTATGAGGAGCTTGGCAGACTGCTGGGAGGAGTGGCCATCACTCTGAGAGGAGTTCTGCCCAGCATTCAAGCGGTCCTACAGTCCAGGGGAACCGAGAGGCCAGCCGAGTCTGGGTGGACGGATCGGACGGTCTGCAGCCAGTTTCTTAAGATCCACTGTGGGATGGACCTTTACAAGAGATCCTTCCTGTCTACAGCCATCAGCATCTATAACATATCTTAATGAAATGAGGATAACGAGTTACAACAACAAATAATTTCCCTTTGGGACTAATAAAGTATTATTGAATTGAATTGAATTGAATTGTATCACATGAAATTTTATGTTTAATGTTACTGTAACAGGAAGTTCTGTGGGTTACTGTAAATGGTGTACTTGAACAAGAGACTGTGTGAGCCATAGAGGCTGCTGGGTAATCTTGGACAGAAATGGGTGGACGTTTTCAGGCTGTGTTCAAATGGTTGTCCCTGTTGGTTGTTCTGTTTAGTGTTAGGTTGGTTATTTATGTTCAGGTTGTTGTTAGTGACTGTAAAATAAATGACTCCATAAGTCAGATGTTGTATTTGCTGGATAAAAGGAGGAGAAGCACTTCCTGTCAGCAAGTTACTGCATTGAAAAACTGAAAGTGATTTAATCGAATCGTGACGCTGTAGTGTCAATGTTAGCATTTAAGAGGATGTTACAGTATCACATCCTAACTGAAGGCCTAGAACTTATAGTCATGGTTCCCCACTGCAAGAGATGCAAAACATTGGATATATTCACCTTCTCTGTGATGGTGCATGGGTCTTTTGTAGATTGTGGGTCTGGTTGTTGGGTGACAGGACTCCCCAGGTCCTTCTTCTTTGACCCTGGTGCTACATCCTTTGACGAAGGACTGACTCGCTCTGCTGACTCAAATAAAGTGGGCGGGGCCATAGGTTCCCCTGTTTCTGGACTTGGCACTGCCTTGTCTTGAGCTGTAGCCACGACCTTGTCTTTTTCTGGAGCGATGTCTATCAGACACCTGGTGAAGAAAGGGAAAGTTAAGTGCTATGTGTTATCATCATTGCATGTTCCCATTCAGTGATGAAATTAGTTCTTTGCATTTAACTCATCACACCTGAGATACACCCAGGTGGAGCAGTAGGCAGCTATTTAAGCATCTGGGCAGCAATTAGGGATTAGGTGTCTTGCTCATGGACACCATGACATCTGGGCATGGCAGGGAGTAGATGATAGATGAAGCTTTTGTCCCTAGTTACCCATGTCCCAGGAGAAATTTGTATCCGAAGCCAAACGAGGGAATCAGATTCAGATAAGCCTCGATTGTTGATGCAGACAGATTTTTTTCATCAGCCTTGAGTCCTTCTGGAACTGTCTGGTTCAAAATGGCCTGATTTGTGGGAATCCATTCCACTGATCCATATTATGAGCCTCCTTCAAGGTCAAGCCCACCACACTGACGAGTCCCAGAAGCCGCAGCTGACCTGCGATTCTCAGAAATCGACTCCATTTTACGGTTTAGCTCGTAAATCAGCTGATTTTGAGTACTCAGCACAAACCAAACCTTCACACTGACTCGGAAGCTTGGTCATGGCCGAAACTGCTGCCGATGTCTTCTTCAAAAGTCGATAAACGGAGTCCCGCTGATGCCTAAAAGCAGAGTCCCTGCTATCATAAATACAAATATATAAATATCTTTAGCATCCTCCTGAGACAGGACTGAGAGGCACATCAACTGCCATACTCCCCACGGATCCATGACGTACCCCACAGCGTGAGTCTCAGCAGGACAAGAGGGTTCTACAGGACCCTGTCGTTTTGTTGAAAATATTTTGTCGATTACGTTGAAAGTCCAGGTCACCAAATCCATAATCTTAATCTTTGTTCAGGAGATGTGTACCAGGCGCTTCAGACACACAGAGAGCAAAGCAGGAGGAAAGGGAACAGGGAAGGGAGGGCAGGAGCAACCACCTCGAGCGAGAGCCAGACAGAAATCTTGTAGTATATTGTAGATTTTTTTCCCCCGGCCACATTTTATTTATTTATTTTATATATTGTTGACAGTTTAAGTGATAAAAAACTGTTTTGCCCTCAGATGTTATTGGGGTCTTTGCTTTATTTCAGGCTGTTACTGTTCAATAATCTTGTTCGTTCAGTGACGTTATACAGGAGCTGAAGGTCTTACTGTAGTTGAGCATCTGCGTTTTGCAGCCAAACCACAAAAATGCCATCTGTCGTAATTGTTGCAACTGCCAGGCTTGGGGTCAAAGGTCAGGGTAGAGAAGGGACTATGATGTCATTGTTTTTAAAAGCTTGTGTTTAAGCTGTCCTCTTGAAAACACAAAAGTGGTGATTAGGCCTTCATAGAATGTTACTTTAGTGTGGATGTGAGGCGGAAACATCAAGAAATATTTCTGTTTTCACAAAACATTTTACAATCTGAGATTCCTGGCCAAACCCTACCTCAACGTGTGGCAGAGTGTTGTACAAAAAAGTGATATCTGCAAAAATAAACTTGTGAAAATGTTACCATCCTACTGATTTATGATTTACAAGTGAAACACAATTGAGTTTAGCGTGATGCTATTCTCAGAACGTCCCTTAGAGGTACATTGAAAGAAGAATACCTTAGTATTGATTAATAAACCCAAGGAATCCAGTCAGTTACTTAGACTACAAGCATGTCTTAAAGACATAAAAACCTGCATGACCCTTAATTTTCTCCTGTTGGAACACAGACAAGACTGAGGTTTAGGTTTTTGGACCTGAGCACCTTAGGAATTAATTTTTCAGTCTTTCTCCCTCCTTAGATGGCATTAATTTGAACTCCAGCTCTAATGTTAAAAATCTTGGCGTTATTTTTGATCAGGACATGTCTTTTATCCCCCACATTAAAAATGTTACTAAAACTGCATTCTTCCACCTGCGAGATATCACTAAAATTAGAAACATCTTATCTACAAATGATGCAGAAAAACTGGTCCATGCATTTGTCACGTCTAGACTGGACTATTGCAATGGTTTATTATCTGAATGCCCAAATACGTCTTTAAAACGTCTTCAGTTGATCCAAAATGCTGCTGCTCTTAATTGGAGTTAGTAGGAGAGATCATATCTTTCCAGTTTTAGCTTCTCTCCATTGGCTCCCTGTCAAATCCAGAATAGAATTCAAAATCTTGCTTCTAACCTACAAAGCTCTCAGCAACCTGGCCCCATTTTATATTACAAATCTTATTGTTCCATATTTTCCTAACAGAGCTCTTCGCTCTCAGACTGCAGGTTTACAAACCGGATACCAAAAAAGTTGGGACACTAAACAAATTGTGAATAAAAACTGAATGCAATGATGTGGAGATGGCAAATGTCAATATTTTATTTGTAATATAACATAGATGACAGCTCAAATGTTTAATCTGAGTAAATGTAACATTTTAACGGAAAAATATGTTGATTCAAAATTTCACAGTGTCAACAAATCCCAAAAAAGTTGGGACAGGTAGCAATAAGTAGCTGGAAAAAGGAAATTGAGCATATAACGAACAGCTGGAAGACCAATTAACACGAATTAGGTCAATTGACAACATGATTGGGTATAAAAAGAGCTTCTCAGAGTGTCAGTGTCTCTCAGAAGTCAAGATGGTAAGAGGATCACTAATTCCACCATTGTTGCGCAGAAAGATAGTGCAACAATACCAGAATGGTGTTACCCAGCATAAAATAGCAAAGACTTTTAAGTTATCATCATCATCCGTGCATAACATTATCAAAAGATCCAGAGAATCTGGAACAATCACTGTGCGTAAGGGTAAAGGCCATAAAACTCTAGATGCTCATGATCTCCGGGCCCTTAAACGTCACTGCACCTCAAACAGGAATGCCACTGTCAAGGAAATAACAGAATGGGCTCAGGAATACTTCCAGAAAGCATTGTCAGCGAACACAATCCACCGTGCTATCCGCCGTTGCCAGCTGAAACTCTACAGTGCAAAGAGGAAGCCATTTCTAAGCAAGCTCCACAAGCTCAGACATTTGCACTGGGCCAGGGGTAATTTAAAATGGAGTGTGGCAAAATGGAAGACTGTTCTGTTGTCAGATGAGTCACGATTTGAAGTTCTTTATGGAACACTGGGACGCCATGTCATCCGGACCAGAGAGGACAAGGATAGCCCAAGTTGTTATCAACGCTCCGTTCAGAAGCCTGCATCACTGATGGTATGGGGTTGCATGAGCGCTTGTGGCATGGGCAGCTTGCATGTCTGGAAAGGCACCTTTTTTTTTTTTTCCTTGCTACTCTACGGTGAAACCAGACGTGTTTTCCCTCTCTGCCCCCCACCCGCTTCCCTGCTGCGCTCTTTTGACCTGTGAACCCTTAAAAAGCCTCGTTTTTTCCTGCATACCTCTTAATTGGAAGGATCAGCTGGTCTCTCAACAAAATCGATCAACTTCTCCCGACAGGAGTCAGGGTAAGGAGGACCCTCTACCTCTAAGGAAACAAATTGGATTCATGATGACGACTAGATTCTACTGTTTGGGTTGGTGAAATCTGGTTGTCTACAAATTTGTGTGGAGGTGTTGAAGCTTGACAGTGCTCGGACTGAATGTGGAGCTGTGGCAGGGAATTGGAGCAGCTGTATCAGGACTGTGATCTCCCTGGCAGCACTCATGAATGGTGGGAATAATCTTGGAGAAAACTGTGAGCTCAACTTTGGAGTAAAGGATCAATTTGGCTGTTTTGGAGTTTCCATCAGAGAATATGTACAGCAAGACTTTAAAGGCAAAAACAACAATTCACGAGTTCTGCCTGACCCAAACTGTGGCTTTGATGCCGGACTTATCTCAACTCCTCCTGGAATGTTTTGAAAACAACAAAGATGCTTTGACTGTTTCCTCACCCCTCCCTTCCCCAAGGCCGTGGACATGTAACAGAACCTCAACTGAGCTGAAGATGAATGTCACCTCTTATCTGGACAATTGCTGAGGGGGGACTCTGGACTATGCTATGACTTTCCCTTAAAAATTCAATGTTTTCACCGCCTATATGTAAATGTATAACGTCTGTTTATTTTGCTTTGCTGTGGTAGGTTTTTTTGATGCCTCAAATTGTGCCCTGTCTAGGACACGGTGTGAGAGATCTTTTTTTTTTATATCGTCTCTCCTCATGTTTTCTTTCCTTTTCTTATCTAAGCAAAATATTATTCTGAATAAGAATAAGAAGGCCGCGCTGATTATTTTAGCCGCAGCTTCGTGCACTCCGCCCATCTTCGGACGACTGTACGTACATATTCGCGTTGTATCTCGGTGCAATGCCAATAAAGTTTATTCTGATTCTGATTAATGCAGAGAACTATGATCAGGTTCTAGAACAACATATGCTCCCATCTAGACGTCATCTCTTTCAGGGAAGACCCTGCATTTTTCAACAAGATAATGCCAGACCTCATTCTGCAGCAATCACAACATCATGGCTACGTAGGAGAAGGATCCGGGTACTGAAATGGCCAGCCTGAAGTCCAGATCTTTCACCTATAGAGAACATTTGGCGCATCATAAAGAGGAAGGTGCGACAAAAAGGCCCAAGACGATTGAACAGTTAGAGGCCTGTATTAGACATGAATGGGAGAGCATTCCTATTTCTAAACTTGAGAAACTGGTCTCCTCTGTCCCCAGACGTCTGTTAAGTGTTGTAAGAAGAAGGGAGGATGCCACACAGTGGTAAAAATGGACTTGTCCCAACTTTTTTGGGATTTGTTGACGCCATGAAATTTGGAAACAACAAATTTTTCCCTTAAAATGATACATTCTCTCAGTTTAAACTTTTGATCTGTGATTTGTGTTCTATTCTGAATAAAACATTAGATGTTGGCACCTCCACATCATTGCATTAAGTTTTTATTCACAATTTGTTTAGTGTCTCAACTTTTTAGGAATCCAGTTTGTACTTGTGGTTCCTAGAATTTACAAAAACAGAATGGGAGGCAGATCTTTCAGTTATCAGGCTCCTCTCTTGTGGAACCAACTTCC